TCGCGGGAAGATGTAGATTTCTTTGGAAGGCCATCTCTACAACTTTTTCTATTGAAATATTTTGGTTTCTCAAGGGTCATAAAATACCTGTTTTTGGGGTGTCCGTAACAAACTAACTTTAAGTATTAGTAAGAGTTTTACGGCACTTGCAACACAAAGGTCATATAAATGCCGAAGATTAGAAGTGTTACAAGAGAGCAACAAACACAAAAAAGAAGAAGGGGAGATAAGGACGATAGATGTTTAATAGGAAAGAAGAAGCAAAACCACACCAGAGCACCCGCCAACCACCCACAAACTAACTTTGCAATATACTTCACTTTCAAAGTGTGTGTTCGTGCAGTAAATACCACAACTTAAGCAGAAATCGAACGCTTTTTCAGCGGCAGACAAACCCATCGGAAATGCTTTATTGAGTAGCAGATTTTTGTTTTTAACTTCAGTTTCACGAATAATGAATGTCGAACAATGTCGATGATACGGCGTTTATATGGGTGGTCACTGGAGTGTGCCTTTTCACTTATACAGGTGTTGCGTCTTGATCAAGTACACATATAATCCAAAAGACAAAAAGAAAGTGTATCTTTTTTTCCTTAATCTTTATACCCATTGTTATGCTTTCCATACTAATATATTATTATATTCAGCCTGTTGAAAAAGGCTCAAAATACAAAATAAATATAAAAGTAAGATACCCATGAGCTTAGTCTAAATACACTCCAAAAGAAAAACGACACGGGATAGCAAATATTTATATCACTACAACATAATGGATTTATTTCATTTCACATCCATCAACATACGAACATCACAAATTATTGTCAAATATGATGAACAAATCCTTGCCTCTATACACTTAAACCCACCACTCTGTCCCCACAGTGCGTGGATGTGCCCCACAGCCATCGTTTTGGAATCCACGCAAATATCTGGCCTCATTTCTCAGGGGAAAAAACGAATTTGCAAAAGACCCATTAACTTTTCAGTTTGTGAGAAGCCAAGCAACACTAAAAACTTGGAATTACGAAAAGCACCACAAACATTAACGGATATGTGCTAAACACAGCAATAATTATACAATATTTACAAATGGAATGTTTGATAAATAATTCTAATCTCAACTGTTATTTGTGCAGTTCAGATAAAGACACATACCATGTTGAAATTCACGTATATACATAACAACTGTCCGAAACGTAAAATAACAACAGCCTTTCTTACAAACACAGGACCCGATATAATATTATCTGTGTGAGTTATCAAGGCTAAGAGAATCACGTAAGCATGCAACGAGAAATACAACATAACATCCTTGACAAACTACAATGTAGCTGCAACATAATTATTATTATTACGTCACTGAAATCTTTAGATATCTATCCATCCTGAACTTACGTTGGGAGATAGAAAGATTGAGGGAGAGAGATAGGGGTAAGAGAGAGAGAGAGAGAGAGAGAGAGAGAGAGAGAGAGAGAGAGAGAGAGAGAGAGAGAGAGAGAGAGAGAGAGAGAGAGAGAGAGAGGAGAGACAGAGAACGTGAAAAGAGAAAAATAATAGGATTTTTTATTTTTTTTAAACCGAAGGATCAAACTGAGCTCTGAATTTTACTCTTTTAAAATCCTCATGAGCAAGCAAGTCTTACAGTTTGTAAACATTCTGTTGTTGTTATGTTTATTAAGTTAGTGGGTCACATAATGAGTAATCAATATATCAGATTTCTGTACAAAACCCCACGAAATTGTTGGCCTAACAGACACACTGTAATATCTGTACTAGCCCCAAAATATATTTCCTAACGACTGGTTATGGCATGACAAACAGTGTTAACCAAAGGACTACATTATTAATTGCATGTTAAACACATACTTTAGATATCACATTTTGGCCAAATATTCTTTAATCAGATATGAAAGTCATGCTCAACTCATCTATGAAGTCAAGTTTTTTTTTAGATTATGCAGATATCCGCTCATAAAAGACTATTGATAACGTGTCGTCTCTCTACAAATAAAACTGTGGGCGGGGCACCCTATTGCATTGTGCACAGATATTTTGCTAATATTATTATGGTGTGAGTTCTAGGGCAGAGCGACTATGAATAACGCTGGGCACTATTACTTCTACGACACTACGACAACTGACTTGCAATTAGAAGTCTTTATGTAGTGTTAAAAAACCCATCATCATAGCATCTAATTATATAGTTGTTTAAATGCTATGAATGACCGTGCTAGTATTATAAATAGTGATACAGTTAGTGTATTAGGTATGATTTTATTCCATACTTCTATAATTTGCAAAATATTCATGCAACCCATATATAATTCTCAGCTGGTAACAAAGTACTAAGAAGCTGTTTGCCGCTATATGCATGTGTGTGTGTGTGTGTGTGTGTGTGTGTGTGTGTGTGTGTGTGTGTGTGTGTGTGTGTGTGTGTGTGTGTGTGTGTGTGTGTGTGTTTGGAAGTGTAAGTGTAGGAGGGAAAAAAAGGAGGGGGGGGCGGGGCAAAAATCCTAAGCTATTGCTTGTTACATTTTATTTTACATCAAATTTAACTAGCACGATAGTGCCGCATGTTAATGTTTCATCTTGCCCCAAACCAATTTTTAAAAATGGTTTGGTGGTTTTCATTATGTTATTCCCTGCAATATTCTGATGTCCACAAGGATTGTAGGAATTTGCTCAACATTATATCATTGAAAGACATCTCGGGGAGGTATAATATTGTTAGGGAGGACAACAAAATAAACATAACATAAATCATTTTAACTAGAAAGAGACTGATCAGTCAGAAAAGAACCCAATTTTTTAAGAAAAATAAAATCAGCTGCTATCAAATGTTCCCTCAATGGCTTTTATCCCTTGCATGTATAGAAAATAAGAAAGAGCTAATAAAGTACGGACTTTGAACAGAATGTTAAAAAAGATAGGAACATCAGTATCAATGAGAGAATCACCCTTCCCTCTGGGTCGATAGATCAGAGAGTATTATATTATCTTTACAGCGGCTATGTCGAAATCACGGGTGAGCCCAGAGCACCCGAATTCGCGGAACGTGAAAAGGGAACACCGGTATTAGCCTACTTTTTCGAACACAACCAAATACATGCACTACTTTCATTTTCTCCTAGCTATTTAATGTAAGAAAACAGAAAACCAATGTCAATATCATACCAATATCTCTCTGAATTTCCTTTTCTTCAGGGAAAGCTAATTCGACTTCACAATAACTGTTAATTCACTTTTCTATTTCAGTCCAAAGGGGAACCTACAACTTGCAGCTTGTTAGGCACAGCAAATGGCTATAATTTCATATCTATTTCAGTCTCTGCCGATCGGGGTTTGTTGTGCACAAGATAGGCACTTGGCTGTTACATGCAGAAGGCATTAGTTCGATTCCTGAGTAGGGAGTTTTTTTTTAATCGAATATCTTCGTCTGTCTGTTGGGATGTTGCATCCCTCTAAGCCTGTGTTGTCCTGGTAGGCAGAATCGAAGCAGCCTGCCTCCTAAATGACCTAAGCCATGTCAATGGTAGTGTAAAATATGTACAACTATGTCACGTCTCTATCAATAACCAGGTGTCCTGTTGAAACTGACTGAAAAGAGAGTAAACAATTGTTTCTTAGATATAACGTCCTATCCTACAGAGCCAAAAATCGAACTGACTACATTGCAAGTCTGACCCCTAACAGCTCGAAAAGACATCATTTTATGAATTATATGGGCCCGGGTGTTGATATTACAGAAACACCGAAGCTACTGTTTCAAGAAAAAGAGTTAATGAGTTAATCACTACCTGCTCTATAATAGATATAAGGACTGGTATTGATTATTTATCACTTGTGTAACAAAACAGACAGAAGTCCTGGAATGTTTTGAGGCCCATGTATCAATGCGCACAAATTGTGATGATGATGATGATGATGATGATGATGATGATGATGATGATGATGATGATGAGGATGATGAGGATGATGATGATGATGATGGCGTCGGTGGCCTAGTGGTTATGCTCTCGGACTCGCAACCGTAAGGTCGTGGGTTCGAATCCCGTCAGGGACCCGACGTTGTGTCCTTGGGAAAGGCACTTTACACGAATTTTCCTCACTTCACCCAGGTGGGAATGGGTACCCGGCTATAGACAGCGAAAGATCTTGTCAGTATGTTAGTGTTTGAGCGCTTAATCAGCTGCTTGCACTGTATGCTTCCCGGGAAGCTGAGAATGTTTCGGAGTGTTCTATGGTCTGCTGGGGTAATAATATAGTGTAAAGCGCATAGAGCCTGCTGTTGAGCGGGGATTTGCGCTATACAAATGCTATCTATTATCTATTATTATTATGATGATGATGATGATGATGATGATGATGATGATGATGATGCCCTTATTGCAGATAATATTGCTGATGGCTTGGGCAATCGTTATACATGACAAGATATACCAACAAAGTCCCTTTGACGAATCAAACAGTCGTACAAGCCAAACTTTTAAGAACGAAGAAAATTCCTACATTCAAGTCTTATCCTTTTTTAAAACAAGTTGTGAGCTCTCTGGGAGGCAAAGCAAGCTAAACAAAAACACGTCACAAAAGAGCAATACCAAGACTGTCATTGATCGAAGGAGATTAACCTGTCTCCCTCGCACCCGAACGTCAGAAAACGTATCTTCATTCATTCGAGAAAAAAAAGTTATATATGAAGTAGATTCTAGAAGAAAATAATATCCTCAAACGTTAAAAGCAGGGGTAGGTGTATTCTATTTTTAGTGTCCACCCCCACGCATTGACACTGAGCTACCAAAGAATTACAACGTTCTATCTGCACAGTAGCCTACTTATTTTGGAGAAACCTGACGTAAATAATTCGAGTTTCACAACAGGTCAAACTTTTTCGAATACAATTCTTTGAATATCCAGATAACGACTCTTACAATTTTGATAGATAGAGCAGACAGAACATTTGGTTTCTGACCTCATGGTCTTGATGACTCAAAAAGGCCAAAAATACCAGATAGAATTTTGTAAGGTAGCGTCTGGATAAACTTGTCATAAGGTCGATGCCCTTAGAAAATAAAATATCAATATTCGTGCACTCCTTAACGTCACGCATAGAGCGACAATGGGTCATTTTTTGTCTCTCCCAAGAATGCTTGTGTATAACAAGTACTTGTAGCATTATATGATAATACTTTGAAATCTCTGTAGAGAAGAAAAGTGCTTTGTGGGCAGAAATAGAATAACAGGCGTGCTTCAAGTCGTTCGCACAAACATCGTTCAAGTGAATAATTTGAACTTGTCAGTTTTGTGAGTGTGAGTTAAAAGTTTTGACACGTAAGTCTTGACACGATTCATATAAAAAGGACAACAATTTTCTTTAGTGTTTATGTGCTTAAGAAAAAATGTGAACTACAGTCTAAAAATGAGCAATGCAGACAATAATAACATACACTGAAACGAAACGTTATATCACATTGTATCCATCGTGCCCAGTCCAATAAATCTCGTCTTAAGACGTATAATAGAAAAAAGACGACTTTTGCAGAGAGACCATTTAAAAAGAGATTTTATCGTAGCCAAATCAGTTTCGAAAAAAAACCTGACATGGTATTTAAAACAATAATAGTATAGACATTCACTTGTAAACAATATTTCAGAAAAAAAAACATTCGCTAGGACTATGGACATTTGAACAATTTCATCCATAAGATTTAATCATCTTTTAAAATAGGTTAACCAGGGCAGAAATATTGCGTTCATATTTTTCTTTCTGAATCTAGAAATATATGATAATAAATAATAATAGACATATCTGAAGAAAAAAGCCCTACTTTAGAAACGTCGTCTTTGCTATGGATCTAAGTAGGACTTAAAGCGAAGAAACATGTCATTGTGTTATCCGGATTCTAGGCTAGCACTTATAAATAAAGACAGCCCCGGATTCAACCGCATGTTCATGTGTGGTGAGTAACATTTTTTTTTTGCCCCGAATATCAGGGAAACCAACCAGGAATGACGTTCAGCGTCGAAACGTAGATCTGTCTTGCCGAACAGCCAGAAACGGTGCCATCAAAATCTTAGCATTTTAAAAAAGTCTGAGTAAGTCCAAAAGTTTATGAAATAGTCTTTCAAACGTTGTTGGCAAAATCTGCTTTTGATACTGGACATGATGATCTGTAGTTGTTTCCCTGGTTCAGAACTAGACGCTCTGGTCGTAAAAGAGGTGTGGGGGTTTGGGGTTCGGATTCCACAGAGGTAGCACGAGCCAGAGCCGCTTTTGAGGGTTGTTTATCCGGGACGATTGTTGGGATGAGTTTATGGGCGATCTTGTAGAACTGGGAAAGAGAGAAAGGACAAACGAGGACGTCAGGGCAAGTGAAATATAGATAGGCAACACATACACAAGCGTACATACACAAACATACGCTCACTCGCAAGCACGCACGCACACACACAGACACACACACACAGACACACACACAGACACACACACACACACACACACACACACACACACACACACACACACACACACCTCAAATGGTCCAGTATTTTCATCCCAGAGTATTGTTTGTCTCCACATACTAAGTAACTGAATGCCAAATTATAATGCTACGTTTTTAACTAGTGGCCAATAACAAACATAGACTACTAGCAAACACAAAATGCTGAAACAAAACAAAACAGAATGTTATAAGAGAAACTTACCGAAAGCCATGCCACAACAGTGCCGAGACACGCCCCTGCGACGACGTCAGAGGGGAAGTGTTTGTGGTCAATGATGCGCGTGACACAACACAGGACGGCTAAGATAATGAGGCACAACTGGAGTGTGGGACGCAGCAGGTGGGAGAACTTGATCTCCATGCGGAGTTGCAGGTAGAACTGGGGACAGATACACATCTTCTAGTTAAACAAGCAAATACAATGCCAACATTTCTTAAGTTGGTAAAGACTTGCAAGAGACAGAAAGTTATTTCTCCCCTCGACGCCCTAGATGGTACAAGAGGAAGGATAAAGTAAGAAAGTACTTTAAGTAAAGTAAATGTTGTTGTTTTTTTTATAAGTCACTTAAAGTCGTGTATTCTCCTGAATCACGATTACACCTTTGGCTGGCTTGTTCACTCCATATCACCAGTCGATGTACTGAAGGACTTATAACTTAATGGCCAGTTAAAAGCATGCGTTATCGTCCGCGGATTACCAAGTGCTCATTTGCAGCTTGGTGAACAAATGAAAATAGGGTAATGTATTTTTTCTAAGCTCACAATTTCATACCCAGCGAAAACAGGAATTCAGCTTTAAAATTTATATTGCAGGTAGGTTTAACGCCTTAACGCCGGATAAAGATGCCCCAAACAATGCCTTTTTTATTTTGGAAAAATGAGAAACACATGGGCCTTATAGCGAATTATTTAGTTCCAGAAAAGACCAAGAAAAATACACGTATAAAGAAGTAGGGCCCTTCAGTGGAGCACTCTAGACTTCAAAGATGTTATGCTCCCGTCTTTTTATCGCACATGCGATTATTTCTATTTAATCCTTTTCCTTAATGATTGTGATCTTTTGAAAAGGTGACGGTAATTGTACCCATGGGAACTAATCGTATTAAATCTAATGATTTAATTTGTTTACCTCCCCTTAGTATATCGCCTTTGAAGCAAGTATCCGATTATCATACATTCGAACTAAAATACCTCAAACACACATAAGTACACGAAAATACACAACATAGCAACTGGAACCAATTTGCTAAAGGAAATGGCAGAAAATAATAGGATAATTTACTTATCTCTTCTAAATATCGTGTTTCTTTGTCAACAACTGAAACGTTTGAATGGTTTGAATAAAACAACCAATTAAAAGGCTACTTCTATGCTTGTCGGGGTCACATTTTTCTTTTCGCATTCTAAAAGCGATAGGACCTCATGGACTTTCACTACTTTCAGATCGAATTTAATGAAGCAAAGCAGAGGTCAATTTGGTATAATGTGCACTGGCCAGCAACATTTCTCACATGTAATAAACCACATCAAAAGGAGATTTGTCATACATTTTTTGCAAGGAGCATTGACTTCACATAGATCTAGTACTGTAGCGTTGTATGGTACTCACGATGGTAAAAAGGGCGCTGAACATCGACAAAGAGGCGTGTCCAGAGGGGAAGGAAAGTTTGGCCTCCCGAAGGAGTCGGTGGTCCACTTCTGTGTTGGTGCACTCATAGTCGAGGACAAACCTGTTGGGATCAAAGAGAACAAAAAAAAATAATACTCACATGTGTTGAAGAAGAATGTGGCAAAATATTAGTATTCGAGTTTTATGGCACTTGCAACACAATTAGGTCATGTCATAAATTAGAGGTGTTACATGAGCGTAACATACAAAGAAAAGACAAGGGAAGTGGTAGGGAAGAAGGAAAAACCACACCAGAGCACCCACCAACCACATACAGGCAAAAGATAACACCATGAAAGATGGTTCCTAAAAAAGAATTGTTAATAATCCAAGAACTAGTGAAGGGAGATCATCTTTTTAAATTTAAAGCTCAGTTTGAGTCTGGGTAAAAAAGAAGCACATCGACACAATAACGGCCATTTACAGCAAGGAATAACTGGACAGTCAGGCAGTTACAGTAAGGCTAGAGGCAGAGACAGGACGTTCCAGAGGCACCATGGAACCAACCGCTCACAATGATGAAAATCTAGAATACAACTACCCACAAGAAATGAAAATGGTGAAGACTTTGAATATGCCAAAATCAGTGTGTAATCATACAATTTCAAGAACGATAAGGCAAATGAAAATGGTCATGCCGCGCCCTAAAGCATTAATACAAGAACAATGACGACATTTTCATAATTATTATAGATAATAGGATAGGAAAACTTAAAATAACTCAATATAAATGAAGGTAGAAACAAACACAATCGCATTAAGCAGTTCATTTATTGTTAACCACATTATTTGCAAAAAGAAATAATTAATCATGCTTTTACGTGAACACATGAATGATATTGCTGTCTATTTTATTGTATTTTAGACATAGGGTTTCATTATCAAAGTCAGGCATAAGATAGCAAGATTAGCACCCATTTTGAGTAAAAGATAATATGTGGAAACAAAAGGCAAACATGAGACAGCAATATAACAACCCATTTTGAATTAAATCAAGAAAACAATAGACATCTGCATATGTTATGATCACAGGCACATTATAAACACATGAACATTCCGATAATGACAACACTCTAGCATACAAAGGGTCACAGTGTAAACTGCAATGTCACTATTGCATTCCAAATGTTTTATATTGTTTCAATGGCGTAATTATAGCTTATTATTATCTTTAAAATGCACACATCTACAATTCAAAACACACCCATTATGATAAAATCTGTCTGTCTGTCTGTCTGTCTGTCTGTCTGTCTGTCTCTCTCTCTCTCTCTCTCTCTCTCTCTCTC